ACTTAAATATGTTTTAATTCATTAAATACTTGGAATAACTTAATAAGGTGTTGCTATTATTTCTCTCGTTTTACAGATGAGGAAACAGGCACAGAGAGGTTGAGCAACTTGCCCAAGGATGCACAGCTGGTAAGATACAGTGTGTCTATGTATACTGATGACTCTCTAGGGCATCCAGTGCATGGCAGGTGTTCCATAGACAGGGGTCTCTTCCCCTTTATCAAACAAGACTTTACATCTGCCATATGCTGTGCAGTTGGTAATTCTGGTCACTTTGCCACTTTTGAGAAGAATAATTTGTTTCAGGTTCTAAATAGTTCTCTGGGTGCAGCGATCCTTGTCTCGAAGGCTGATTTTTCATGGATGGAGCTACCTGTCTCCCAGCCAAGGATTTTGGGAAATGCACTAGACCCCACACCTCCACTGTGATAATAGCATTGTTAAGGCTACCAACAAACTGAGGGTTCTAGAGGGGAGGGGGGTGGGGGGATGGGTTAGCCCGGTGATGGGTATTAACGAGGGCACGTACTGCATGGAGCACTGGGTGTTATACAAAAACAATGAATCGTGGATCACTACGTCAAAAACTAATGATGTATTATATGGTGACTAACGTAACATAATAAAATTAAATTAAATTAAAAAAAAAGGCTATCAACATAGGACCATTATATGTGGCCACTAGATGGTTCTTCTAACTTCATAAATATTTTACTGTGTCTTTTCACTTCCCTTAAGAGTTCTTTCATTATTCAAGTTGGCTAGCCAGAAGGCACTGAAATGTTCCACTGGTCTCCTACGGGAGGCATCAAAATATATATGTAAGTATTTTTAGATCAACTGCCATAGTCTACATTGCGTTTTCTTTTATCTTAATCACATGTGATGTAGTCTTAGATACTGTAAGTATTCAGACAGACAAAACAAAACACAGTTGCATCATTTTACAAATGGGAGTTTTCAGTTCTGTTTAATAGAAACAATCTAAACAGCTTCATCCCCGTTTCTGGACATTTTGGAAAAGGTGTGTCTTGGAAATAGGATCAACCCATTAAATACTGTGAACCTTTAATTAAAGAGTTGATTGTTTTAAGAGACAACAGGCCTGCCAGAATTCATGCTCTCTGGAGAGAAAAAATCAAAACATCCATGAGTCCCTGTCACAGATAGCATTTCCTGGCTTGATCCCCGGCCACTCTGGGGGACCCAATTACTCCCAGATGTCTTTCCCTCTGTCTTCTCCAGACAAAGACTCCTCAGTCTGGTGGGTACTTGGCTGCTTTCAGCCACAACACCTTGTCCTGCACTGTCCGCCCAGTCATTGGAGGGATCTTTCTCTGTTACCACTTGGCTTCAACTTTTCATTATAGTGGGTCACAACTAGCATGAGAGCTAGGATGTAGAGACACTATGAAAGGCAAAAGTCATGTCCAAATTGCCCCTTTGAAGTCCTTTGGGAGGCACCACGGTGGAGATCCACACAACAGGTCTCGTAAGTCCAACACTGCCAAGGGTGCGCTGTGCCAGGACAAAGGGACCCCACGGACCTGTGACAGGGACTAGGAAATGAGATGGATGGAGAACAGCTGACTCAAAACTCAAGCTGTTGCTGAGTGGAAGAGAGGACCAGATGACCCACACCGGGTCACTCTTTCTCAGTCTTGCCTCATCCCTCACCGTGTCCTCCTGACCCCTTCTCCTTCATTCCAGGCACCTGCAGATCTTCATGGGCATCAGCCCTCCACACCTCCATGCCTCTGCTCACATTTTCCCTCTGCCCAGAATACCTGCATCCTCCTCCTCGTGCCCCTTTATTCCTCCTCTTGGAAGCTGCTCCCTGGCCCTATAATGACCCATCTACCTCTCTTCTAGCGCTGACGAGGTGGTGCCACCGCCACCCAGCTGCCCTCTCCCACAAGCCGGGAGAGCAGGGCACACACCCCGTTCATCTCTGCAGCCTGGTGCCCAGTGTTTCCTTGATTTGAGCAATCACGGGATGTGCATCCCACCTGGGGAAATCATGGCTCAACAGAGTTCAGTGATAAACCAAAGCAGCTTAGTTCTGCTTCCAGTAACTAAGCCTTTGCCAACCAAATTCAGACCCTGGTTTCCACCAGCAGTTTACTGACCGTGCCTTCTCTCACTTTGTGTCTGGCTCTACATGAAGGTCTGGGGAAATCCAATGTACCCCAAACCACCATTTGATTTTGTATCTCTCCCCATCCAGTTACCAATTAATGTTTCTTTGATGACTCCTTTGGGGACAGCTATGGGCCCAAGATACAATGAAGGTTTAATGGGGGATCCAGACAAAAGGCTATTTTGAGAGACCGGGGAGGGGGGGCCTGCTGGGAAATAACTCATCTTAAGGAAAGGATCATAGCTTTCATCCAAAGACACCGCTTCTGAGATTCAGAAAACCTCCTTACCCAGTCTCTAGCTCTCATGTCTGAACCAAGGATGATGCAATTACCAGAAAGGCTGAAAAAGCCCTGAAAACTATAGGTATCAGGAAAGAGAGCAGCCCCTCTTCTTCACATGGGAGAGCAGACAGACTTATAGGTCCCAATTCACCCCTCCCTGGACTTTTGCCCTCTGCTGTGTGACTTTGCATTTCCTCTCATTAAGGGGACACAGAATATTTTCCTGTCCCCTGACTTTGGGGTTGGTCATATGACTTGCTGTGACCAACAGAATAAGGCTCAAGTAAGAGTGCGCCAGGTCTGAGCTGAGACTTTAAGGGTTATTGCATGTTTCTGCTTGCTCTTTGCACTGTCGCCAAGCCATGAGAAGAATATGCCCATGCTGGCCGAGTGGTTCCAGCAGGACAATGAAAGACACATGAAGCAGAGCTAAACTGGGACACCTGAACCTAGCTGAAATCAACCTACCCTCTGTTGAACCCCAGATGCATGGGCAAGTCAGCCAAGATCCAGCTGAACCCAGCCTGAACCAGCCAACCCTCAGTCAACCTGCAGAGCCATGAGAATAGATGACTGCTGTTTTAAGCCATTGAGTTTTGAAGTGCTTTGTTATGCAGCATTTTTCTGTGGCTATAGCTCGCTGATACATATGGAGGTCTGGGTCCCGGCCACTCAGATTATCAATTACGGGGCCCACAGAGCAGAACTGGTTCTGATCAACACTCCTGAGGGGCAGCAGAAGCAGTTTTAACCACAAGGTGCTTTACTGACCATGAGCCTTGGGTCTTACATCTTAATACATGAAAGCACAATTGAACAGAGGTAAACTTGACTGTGTCCATCAATGGGCAGTAAGAACATCAGGACTTCCCTAACCTAATATTTAACCTTGGAGTGAGTGAACATTTTCCCACCACACAAAGTTTTCTGATCCAACACAAACTTCCAACGTTAACCATCTGACTCAAGACAAAACAAATTCGTGTATTTTTGTTTTATGTTACTTTGTCCCCAAGACACTTTTAGGAAGACCTATTTAAAACTAAAAGTAATGACCTGATAATTTATGAAC